TGCCCATGGGGTTTGTCCTTGGATGTTATCTAGACAGAAAGAATGATGAAAAGCTGACTGCCTTCCGGAACAAGAGTTTGTTGTTTAAAAGGGAATTGAGACCCAATGAAGAAGTCACCTGGAAGTAAAGGCCCCGCGACTGAATTACAGAATGTTCACATTCTAAAAATTAGGAGAGAAATAAAAACACATTCATTATTTTAAAAAAAGAAGAAGAAGAGGCACTGGAGGGTGCCTGGGTGGCTCAGTCGTTAGGCGTCTGCCTTTGGCTCAGGTCATGATCCCAGGGTCCTGGGATCGAGCTTTGCATTGGGCTCCCTGCTCAGTGGGGAGCCTGCTTCTCCCTCTCCCACTCCCCCTGCTTGTGTTCCCTCTCTCGCTGTGTCTCTCTCTGTCAAATAAATGAATAAAGTCTTAAAAAAAAAAAATAAGAGGCACTGGAGATAAAAGGTAAAAGAATACTAATTTAACAGAGAGCAGAAATCTCAACAACTGAGACACTGAGAAACAATGAAAATAATGACTCAAAAAGCCAACAGCTAGGGGAAGGGAAGGGAAAATAAAATAAGACAAAAACAGAGAGGGAAACCATAAGAGACTCTTAACTATAGGGACCAAACTGAGGGTTGCTGGACAGGAGGTGGGTGGGGGATAAGGTAACTGGGTGATGGGCATTAAGGAGGGCACTTGAAGTAATGAGCACTGAGTGTTGTATGCAACTGATGAATCACTAAATTGTACCTCTGAAACTAATAATACAGTATATGTTAATTAAATTGAATTTAAATAAAATTTTTTTTAAAAGCCAAAAGAAAATAACTGCCAAATTTTGACTCTATATCTAGCAAAATATTCATTCAAGAGTGAAGTAAAAGTATCTTCATATCAAGACTGAGAGTTTATCACTTTCAAATCCTTGCTGAAAGATCAGCTAAAGGATTTACTTCTGAAAGAAGAAAATTGAATCTAGAAGTAAGGCAAAAGATGCAAGAAGTCATGGTAAGCAAACAATTTGGTAAAAACATGGGTAAATCTAATAAATATTAACTATAAAAAGCAATAATTATTATGACTGATTTGGTAGATATTATTTAAAGCAAAATGACATGAAGGATGGAAGGGGGTTGATAATGACATGGAAGACACGGGAAGGGTTAGTCTTTGTTAATGTTCTTGTTTGTATTGTTCAGGAAAAAAAAAAGGGTATTGATTACCTTAGGATTTTGTTAAGCAAAAAGTGCATGTTAAAAATGTAAGGTAACTGGGGCACCTGGGTGGCTCAGTCAGTTAAGCGTCTCCCTTTGGCTCAGGTCTTGATCCGAGGGTCCTGGGATCAAGTCCCACATCAGGCTCCCTGCTCAGCAGGGAGTCTGTTTCTCCCTCTACACTTCCCCCCTGTTTGTGATCTCTCTCTCTCACTCTCTCTCTCAAATAAGTAATAAAAACTTTAGAAAACATTTCTGGTGTGTATGAATGTGTGTATGCACAAGATATTTATTGTAAAATGTGAATTAATTATTGCATCCAAGTGATAAGAATGTGGGTAATTTTTATTTTTCACTTTTTGCTTGGATTTTCTAAAATTTCCTATGAGGAATATAAATTATTTTGTAGTAGAAAAAAATCCAAAAATGTTCTCTTAATACATTTTTCCTTAATTCATTCCACATTTCTCCTTATTGCAACAAGGTCACAAGATTCTTTTTGTAATTCTTTGCCCAACCGAATATTTGTTTGAGTCAAAATCTGTTTGACATCACCGTCAAATCAAAGTGTTCAGGTACAAAGATGTCCTTCAACTCACAGTGATAAGATGAACACAATTTCATAGCTAAAGGCAGATAAAACTAGTATCATTTGCCCAGTACCTAGCACAACTGGGACATTAATTTCTGAGCCAAGGAGAGGAGAATCTAAATCATCACAACTGACAACAAAGCACAAGCTGAGTTTGTCCAGACATCGGTTCATTGTCTAGGATGCTTATTTCAAATCACTTTGGGAAGGCAAAGTTATTGCTGCTAAATTTCGTAACATCTGAAAAGCTGTAACTTTTCCAATCATAAAGAACAGACCTGCAAACCTTGATAAGGAAGTTTACATTGACTTCAACATTACAACAGATTTAACGTTAAGAAAACAAAGGCAAAAGCAATACAGTGCTTATGCTCTAGTGCAAGTTCCCATCCAAAGTGTTTTCATTATCTAGAAGCAAAGTGAGTGGGCCACAAAGCATTTTCCCCTGATTTGGGACATTTTACTTCTAAGTAAAGGCTGCTGTACACTTCATAATTTTTATAAAGTGACAAGAAGACACTTCAAAGGTAACCACAATACATTTCCATCCAATCTCACTTGTATTTTTTGGCCTTGACCTGTCTAATCTTAATCAGATTTATCTGAGAACCACAGTAATTCAGAAAATCAAAATAGGGTTTACCCCAAACTGAAAAATTCTCCAAAAGGCAGTGTAGGAATAATAATAATGGTAACATTTCCTGAGCTTTTCCAGTGTGCCAGGCAATATATTAAGTACTGTTTAAGTGTTGGTTAAGCACTTAAGCACTTAATTAAGTAATGAAATCAGTACTTAAGTGCTGATTCGGTACTATATTACATATTCTTTTCATTCAATACTCGCAAAACCTTATGAAGTAGCAATTATTATTATCTATGTGCAGCAGATTATATTTTCTAAATATGGCTACAACCATATCTCCCATCTCAAATGCTTTTCTACAGTGTAATCTTGCCAATCTTCCCATGAACAGTTTGGGCCCTAGGTACCCTCTCTTGGAACCAGGGCAGGATTTGAACTATTGAGTATGGCAGAATTAGGTCATATAACTTCCAAGGCTAGGTCAGCAAAGGCTTTGCAACTTCCATCAGGCTCTTTGGGGATGTTCGTTCTGGGGGAAACCAGACACAACTTAAGAAATCCTACTCCAGGTAGGCCATCGTGCTATGCTGGTGAGGCCATGTGTAGGTTTTCCTAATCAATAGTGCCAGCCTTCAGGCGCCTGGGTGGCTCAGTTGGTTAAGCGACTGCCTTCCACTCAGGTCATGGTCCCGGAGTCCTGGGATCGAGTGCCGCATCGGGCTCCCGGCTCAGCGGGGAGCCTGCTTCTCCCTCTGACCCTCTCCCCTCTCATGCTGTTTCTCTCTCTCTCTCAAATAAATAA